AGTATCCGGACACTTTGTGAACATGGCGTTTTTTTTCTTTGCCCCGATTTTTCGTCTTGCCTTTGCAGCTTCTGCAGCTGAACAGAGACGATGAAGTGAGGTAAATGATGCATTTGAATAGTCGACTGAAAACGAGTTTCGACAATGTTTTTGTCCATCAAAATGAACAGTGCTTATCTTATGCGACGAACTTGACCATATGATTGAATGCCAGCAAACCAGTGGCCTAGAAATATTTGCCAATGTTAAAGAGCAAATTGCCCGAACCATTCAACGGTCGCTCACATTTGTGCCTCTTTGATAGCTGCAGGATCGCAGCAGGCCTCATGCACTTACGTTGTGGCTCAATTCCTCCTTTATTGTCGTAGCCACCCCGTCAGTATGTCCATGTCTGTTGTCCTAGACAGACAGATGGACGAAAGAGGAAGAACGGACGATTTATGGTTTACTGATGAAACTCTTTCAAACTTCGCCCCATTCATCATCATTCACTCCGTGGATATGCAGTGATTTGTTTTTTTATGAGCAGGCCCTGCATGGTTAAGCGCGTCATTTAGCTCCTGCCACAGCCGCCGTCGGTCAGTGTTGGTGAAGCCACGCCCCAGCTCAATGGCTTTCGCTGTGAACGGGGGATGCTCCTCCATGAAGGCAAGCACCATCGCGCGCTGAGCCTCGGAAATGCGGAGGAGACGCTCTTTTTGGCTACCGGTTGAGGTGCCCTCTCCCTTGATTTCGCTTGGCTGAGCCAATGGCTTCAAAAGTCAACCCGTTCGAATTTAAGTAGTGAAGGAGACATGAGTAGATCAATTGCTTGAAACGGGGTTGTTCCTAGCGCCTACACTAAATGTCCTGCTAAATGGTGGCACCGCCTAGCGTCATTTCAAAACAATAACAGAAAAAATATGTTTTAATTGCTCTGCATTCCATATTCAACATTTGAAAATTAGTGCCAACACAATTTAGTAGTGAGCAATAATAGTTAAGCATTCTTCAACATGTTAGAAACACTTGTCAACTTGCTATGCAGTGCTCAAGCCGACATAAAAATTGTGACGCAGGCCTTTATTTTGCTCATTGGCTGTTCGCTTTCCATCGTCCTCGTGAGCGATGCGGACCACCCACTTTTTGACGTAACGAACGGAACGCCTTCGTCCGAATTCGAAACGCGTACAAGATTGCACCACAGCGTCAGGGCATCGCGCTTAACTACAGTTGATCATAACCTGACATGACAGCTGTATTCTAGGAGTACAATCTGCTTCTCCTCTGTAAGTATGGCCCTGTTCAAACAACTCGGAAGCCCAAGTCTACCTTTTTAAACCCGATTTCTCACGTGTGTATTGCCTAAGTGCATGCTCGAAAAGCTGGAACTTCCAGTTGTAATATGGTCGCTGCAAATAAGCTAATGCAATATTTTATTTTTAATATTCTTTTTCTATCATCTGTGAGGAACGTTATGTGAGATTTCAAGAAAAATCGAAGGTGGGTTTTTTAAATATTGATTTTTAAATAGGCTTTGCTGTCAACAAATTTGAAAGTTTGGGGCCATTTATAAAATGATGTGTTTGAGGCACAGCAATGGTATTGACAGGCAATATTATAAACATTATGTTGTAATTGGTCAGCAAGTTATGAAACACTTGCTGGTTTAGCTTATGAGGAAAAAAATTTCAAATCAAACAACCTATAAAAATGTCACCTGTTCAGACATTTTTTAGAAACAGTTTGTTTTAGCCCACAAGCAAACTATGCTGCTTCACTCTTCATTACACATACATTTATTAGAAAAAAAATCCTCTTCATCAAGCTAATATTTGTGTTTTTATATCGTCGTTAACTTTTGAAAATGACAAGGGACGAAATTGGTTTCTGTTGTGTTATCGTGTTTGTGCATAGGGGGGCTGACGCAGACGCGCTTTGCTATCAGCGGTGACCCAGACTCGGACTGTTGGGCATCGTGACGTCAATGCTCAGTGTGATAGTGGCTCGATTATGTATATAAGCAACCGCCCCTTTTCCTTCCTGGTTGTGAAACAGTTGGTTGTGTGACCGAATAAACATTTGTTGCACTTAGCCACCGTGTGCTGCCTGCCGGTCTCGCCCCTGTTTAGACGAAGATATAATAGTCCATATGTACAAAATAAGTTCAATATTTCTTTCTTCTTAAACTATGTAATTAATAAAAAACGAAGTTTACTTTGGGGCTATTGGGTGGTATGTGCACAAAATATAAAATGAACAATATAAAATGAACCCGTGTCGATCTCTCGTGGAATCACTCGGCTGTCAAATATTTGAAGAACGACAGGGACATCGTAATCCTACCAGGCGTTTGATGGCGACTCCACCCTAATCGACACAACACCGCTTTCAGTTAATAGAGTATGCCGGCTGTTTGAACTTCGTCTCTCCTGCACCTATTTCTTTTTTAACAACGCCTTCTTCAAGCAGACCAGTGGGACCGCCATGGGGGCAGTGATGTTGGCAACAGTAGCAGCGCTTGTGATGGGGGACATTGAGAAGCAGGCACCTTCCGCGTTTGACCTCAAATCCAAGATGTTTGTGTGCTACGTGGATGATTGTTTCTGTGTGGTGATGATTGTTTCTGTGTGGTGAAGTCTAGCGGGCCGACAATTTTCTCGCATGCCTGAATTCTTTTGAGCCTGATATACAGTTCTCAGGAGAAAGAGAGAACTATTTGGCTCTCCCTTTTCTAGATGTGCTAGCAAGAAGGCAACATTAGAACCTGTCCTTTTCCGTGTTCAGTAAACCCACCCTAACAGGATGCTACCTCCATTTCAGCTCGAACCACCCCACATCACAAGCTCTCTGTGGTGCAAAGCCTTTTTCAGAGGGCCGAAAGAATTTCTTCGTCACCACAATAACGGAAGGAGAAAAGGGATAGAATTATCAGTGACGTGAGTGCTAAGGGCTACACAAAAGCGTTAATTTGCCGAGCTCTTTAAATGAGTAAAAATGCAGCACTTGTGTCACCGCATTGACAGCATAGGTCGATCCCATATGTTGCCGGCACCAGCGAAAAAATAGCCCGCATGCTGAAAAGAGCAGGGGTCAACATCGCATACAAGCCATCCACCACTATTGGCAGCTACATCAATCGCCCTAAAGATCAAGGCCTGGGGAGAAATCTCAAGGCATCTTATACCGGATCCAATGGGCTGACTGCCCCGCTTACTATATTGGAGAAACCAAGAATTTCCATGAAAGGATGTGACAGCACAAAAACAACCTCTGTCAACTGAACAGCCAACAGAGCGCAGTAGCAGAACACTGGGAGCGATTTGACCACAACGTCGACCCGGCGAAGCAGAAATTTCGCAAGAAGGAATTCCCGCCAGCGACTCCTCTTCGAATTCTCGCACATTCAGCAGACAGCTGGGCACATCAATTGCTCCACTGGGACATTGCCCTTTCTTTACTGCCAGGGTTTGCGACGGGTCGCAACAAATCTCTCGTGCAAGGCGAGCAAGCGTATATAATGAGCGTTGCACATTCTGGCTTTCTTACCTCTAAGGAAGGAGCCGGTCTGCCTTCTAAACATCGGTTTTCTGAATATAATTTTTGGTTGGAGTTTTCCAATTTCCTCAGGACTATGGAACATCAACATCATCATCATATTTACATGTTTTTTTCATATTCACTGCACGTGCTCAGAACTTTCTAAGCAATTATGATACATTTATTTACTTATTCTATAAGAGCACATGATTTTCATTACCACTCGAGGGTCTCAAGGTAGAAGACGTAACAGTCATGCAATTTGATTAGATCATCATGGAAAACCTGGAGAAGTCAGGGAATTTTGAAAAAACAAATTGGTAGACACCTTGAAGGATGCTCACCAGAGCATGTGGACATTTCCATTGAGCATTAGCTAATATAAAAGGCTGCACTCACTAAAGTTAGGTAACAATTACACGCTAGCTACAAGCAATGAACTAATAATATAATTAGCCACTAATTCAGAGTAAAGAGCTGCAATTTCGTCGTCCTGATGATTGAGTATATATGACTCACTCGCTTGCGTGCTGCTCAGAGGCAAAGAGATGCGAACTGATCTGGTTGTAGGAATATGTGCCCCCTCTGTTGTAAAGAATCTTACTACTAGTTACATTTGTTGATACGTACTTCTCATAAATAACGAGACACCCACATTGTTATTATTTATTATTATTATTCCTATGTATTTAATTTTTTTGCTAGAGTAATCTCACAAGTGCCGGAGGGCGATTTACGGAGGGTCAGCGGGTATACTTGGAAATCGGCAGGGCCGTGCATGTGGTGTCGCTCCAATTATGGGATTGGCAGAGAACTTAGGAGGCTTGCAACATTTGTGACCTGTAGCCAAATCAAGCAAGTACCGGTGATCATGTTTATTACTCAGGAGTGTTTTGTCACTGCAGCGTCATTGTGCTTCTGCGCTACTCAGCCTGGACTATATTTTCAGTCATTCACTTTGAAAAGTTGTGCATCTGATGTAACCACGGGCTTTAGTGATCTGGCACTGTGTCAAACATGTTTATGTAGTGGGCGAGGAAATATACTGAACTTGAACGAAGCACTTTTGTTTTAGATATATAGTTTATGGTGTAAATTAAGTAAGTGAAGCATCAAAGCTGCTGCACTTGTGAGTGGCCTTACATGCATCTTCTATATTGGACAGCCACAGAAGTTATCGGTACCACTTTTCTGTAGCCAATATGTAATTTATGATGTAATTTATGTAAGTGAAGCATCAAAGCTGCTTCACTTGTAAGTGGCCTTACATGCATCTTCTGTATTGGACAGCCACAGAAGTTATCAGTACCACTCTTTTGTAGCCATATTTTCAATTGTGTAAACAAAGGCAATGTTATGCAGAATGAAGAAAAATAACTTCTGCATGTAATATGAATTGTTGGTATTAGTTGGACTGTTTTTGTAAAGGGGGTTGTTACCTGGAGTCTTCGGCACTGATTTTATTGTTTGTGCTTTTTCAGAATTACGACACCTCAGAGTCAAAGCTGCGCCGAGAGTTTGAGGTGTTTGGCCCAATTAAAAAGGTAAGCTGTAGCTCTTACCTCCTCTGATGGGGTTTTAGGTTGCATATCTTTGCAAGTTTTCAGCTTGCAATATATTTCACACTTGTTCTCAGCATCAGCGCCATGCTGCAACTGCTGCATTTGCAAAGCCGTCATATGCAATGTATTAGAGCCATGTGCTGCCGTCTAGTTAAGAATGAGAGAAATCGACGGAGTGACGGGCCTGGCAAGCACATTTGAAGATAGCGTTCATTTCGTTGAGCACATTTTACTTGACGCGTTTCTTTTTTTCACCACTCTGCTAAATGTTCCGAGTTTCGCCTCTATGTTAAACACCAAGGAAGCGAAAAGCGGAGACCAACGAGACATCTGGATATTTCAACTTCACAAGATGCTTTCACTGAACAAAAAGCAGTAAGTGTTTACACGCAAACAATAAACAGCGACGCTCATTGCGCGGGTTGATACCTTACTATAATTGGAAGATCGCGTTTGTCGTACCATCGTTCAAAATGTAAAAAGGTGCAGCGATTGCTGAAAGAAGAGCAAAAGGCATCTGAATATTATCGCGAAAGCAAGCACCACGCATGTGTTCAAAAAATTGCCGCAGATGCACAGAAAGAAGAGAAAAAGGCCATGTTTCTTTTGCATCAAATAGAATGTGATGAAAAAAAGTGTTCAGCGTAGCCAGACAAAGTTTTTAGGGAGTGTGTGACATGGCGCTTTCTGTCCCCAAGAAGCTATGTATGATCATGCTCGCAGTTTGGGGCTCCTGACACTGACAGCTAAGTGCCCTCTTCAGAGGTATATAAGTCCAAGCCCAACATCAACGGGTATGAGCAATGCCATAAACCATTCGTGTGTCTTCAATGGGTAGGCAAAATTGTTTTTCAACGCGTGGCGAGTGATGAAGCGCGCCCGAACTCATGTGCTGGCGTTGTGGGCGCTGCACGGAGGAGCGAAGGAGAGTCAGGGTCGCAGCCCCCCCCCCCCCCCCACCCCCAATGTAGCAACGAGAGGCATGTACTACACCCGATGCGAAGGCCATAAGAAGTGAGCGCGCAAATGCAGCCCGGCCGTACCCTGTGCACGCTAATGCTCCCGCATGCCAACTCTCGCCATCATGCCTTAAAGGTTCACAGCTGCAGCGCCAGCCCCTCTCCTCCTTGCAATCTTTAGGCGCTTCTTCATGCTCCTTTGCCAAGTGAAATAAGTGTGGGCGTTCTCTTTCTTCCTGAGGAGCAGTCGACAGCAGACTTCGCACGCGGGGTGATATTGCACAAGCTCTCCATGCAACGGAGATGGCCAGCTTTTTTCATCTTTGCTTCAGCCCTGTTCGTCATAAACACTCGCAAGTAGAACGTATACACGGTGCACAGAGTGATGTTGTCCATTTGAAATTGATACGGAAATTCATGGCGACGGGAAAAAACAGTCCACAGTGTACAAAGTTGGCTATGCACACACAGATATGTGTAAGTGAAGCCTACCGTAACTGTTTATTTCAAAGTCACAGAGAATCTTCTCGCACTGCCTATTTTATTTCGCAGAATAGTTGAGGAGTTATTTGGTTCATCCTAATAACTAATGCTGAAGTTGAACCGTCTCTCTTTTTGCAGTGACTAGGCACAACGGCAAGTGTTATCAGGCTTGCTCAAAATGAATACTTCTCTATTTTAACAGTAGTAGCGCAAAGCTGGAGCATGAGTCAGTTGAATAACTTGAAATCATCATCTACGCATCCGCCTCTCTACGGGTGCTTTTCGCACTAGCCCCGTGGAAAGCCTGTGCGTGGAATCGAACGAATGGTTGCTCCACCTACAGAGATGTTTATTTATTTATTTATTTATTATACCCTCAGGGTTTTCACATTACATTGTTACATTTATTCTAAATATTATCTTTATGTAAATGCAGACAAGGATCACCCATCACATTCCACAATCAATGACATGTCAAGCCTTGCTGTGTTTGAAAAACAGCCTTCTATGAGACAGCCCTACTCACTCCATGTGAGGGGCCTATCGAAGGAAACTGGTGTGCCACTCGAACACTGCTTGGTGGCTCCCGCAGTATGCCTGCCACCGTGGCAGTGGCAGGCGATAGATTGCGACGTGTATTTCTTGGAGGTTACGAAGCATGCTCCAATCGCACATATGCAGACATACTTCCTTGAACTACAACATAAATACACATTTCCTGAGTTCTTTACGGATGCTTCAAAGTCGAACACTTCTGCTTCGTACGCATCCGTCGGCCCATCCTTTTCGGAAGCCGGCGTCTGCAGTCTGATACAAGCATTTTCACCGGCGAAGCTTATGCAATACTTGCGGCTGTTCAACACGTTAAACAAATAAAACTACAGAATGCAATAATATATAGAGATTCCCTAAGCATAGTAAAAGCTTTGAAAACGCCTAAAAAGCACAAAAACCCTGTCCTTGTCTCGCTTTATTCACTCCTATGCACAGTGTACCCATCCAAGCAGCATGTTGTAGTCTGCTGGGTGCCAGGGCACCGCGAAATACAAGGCAACATTCTGGTGGACCAGCTAGCTGGATGTGCCAACAAAACGGCTAGCAATACATCGATACCATTCCTGCACCCGTCTAGCAAGCTTTTCTAAAACGAAAGCTCGGGGGGTTTTTGGCAAAGCACATGGGACACACAAACAGGTAATAAATTGCATGTCATCAAGCCGCAACTTGATCACTGGCCACCAGTATCAAAATCAGGCCACACAGAAGTAATACAAGATTAAGAACAGAACATACGCACACAATACATTCATTTCTTTTTGTCTGGTGGCGATCCACCTTTGTCTGAAAGATGTGAAGAAGCGCTCACCGTACTTTACGTTCTGATCCACACGGCAAGAAGACAACACTTTCCATTACTCTACCAATAGCAGATACCACTTCATCCTGCAATGTTTGTCGGTAGGGAACCACTTTTTACACATAAATCATTGTTAGCTTTTTTAAGAGAGGTTCGTACTGTCACGGGGTCGTAACGTGGCCGAAGACAGGAGACTTTATGTTGGGATTCAACTGTTAATTTAGGCGAACCTGTGCCCGGTAAACCGTAAGTCTGATTACAGTAGCAGTCTTGCACAGATAGCAGTAAACGGAGCGTCGACCGTCGATCAACTACTGACGAGCGGCGAAGTGCGTCGGCATTTATACTCTAGCCATCGAATGTTCTAGCGTTATCACTGGCGGTGACGTTGGTTCCAGAATAATCTGTACAGTTCGCGGAGTGGGCGTGATCTTATCGAAATGATCTACTACAGTCCTGAAGCTTCTCGAAAACTGCTGGTGCAGTTTGCGCTGAGAATTGTGGTAGTGTACTGGGGCGATAATAAAACTTGAGGAATGGAACTTGGCATTGCCCCCGAGTTGGGCCAGAGTATTGCCGATGGTACGATGACATGCGGTGGCTGGGCGACGGCGAACGGGAAGGATTTCGTGGTGTTCACTGAGTTCCTGTCAGGTAGTCGGCGATGTCACATGGCCGTTCCCCTGACTGCAGACGTGGTGCATTGACGGCGAAGCCACGCAGTCCCATCTGTCGATACTGGCAACAGCGGTATGTATGCCAGGCTTCCCCGCAGTGGTAGCAGAGGGGGCGGTTATCAGGTGCACGCCAAACGTCAGTTTTCCTCAGCGCACTGTGATAGCCTGCTGGCGAATGTTAGGACGTCGGTGGGAGTGGCGGCGGTGGTGGCATCTGGCGATGGAAGTGCGATGGGGTGGCATTTTGGCGGGAACGGGGAGGAGCGTTGTGGCGCACTGCAGCGGCGTAGCTCATAGCTTCCGGCTCGGGCTGCGGTGCTTGGGGAATTCAAAGCGATTGCCGAACTTCTTCTCGCACAGTGTCGGCGATCGAATCCACTTGAGGCTGCGCCGAAGGCAACAGCTTGCGCAGCTCTTTTCGCACGATCGCTTGGATCGTTTCACGTAGGGCTTTGGAGTCAATGGCTTGAGCAGCAGCGCAATCTGGAGTTAGGCGACGATTATACTGTCTGGTGCACATGTCCAGGGTCTTTTCGATAGTGGTCGCTTCGGCTACAATTTTTGGGACGGTGTTCGGTGGATCTCTCATCAGACCCACGAAGAACTCCTGTTTGACCCCTCACATGAGGAAACGAACTTTCTTCTCAGGCATGTCTGAGTAAGCGTGGTGGAATGGGCGGGTCATTTCTTCTGTTAAAATGGCAACATTTTCATTCGATAGCTGAACCCGAGTCTCTAGTAAAGCAGCGGCCCTCTCTTTGCGAGCGAGGCTTGCGAACGTTTGCAGGAATGCGCTGCGTAAGACCTCCCACGTTTCAAGCGCGGACTCCCGATTTTCGAGCCAGGTCCTTGCGGTGTCTTCCAGGTAGAAGTAACGCACGACGGAGCTTATCTTCATTGTCCCAGCGGTTGAGGGCGGCTACACGGTCGTATGTTTCTAGCCAGGTCTCCGGGTCTTCGAACGATGAACAATGGAAAGTTGGTGGTTCCCTGGGTTGATGCATGACGATCGGGAGCTGGGACGCTGTGGTTGTCATTGTCGCGGCAGTTGAGGTCATGGCCTGGGTCTTCCGCACCTTGTCTTGTAGGAGCCCGTACTCCGGTGGTAGACCTTGCTGTCGGTGGCTTGTTCTCTGCTCCTGGTTGGCGTCGGTGTCTTCTCTGCGACGTGGGCTGGGTTCACGGCTTGACGGGGGCGGCCGGTACATAAACGAAGCAGCACCTCCACCAGATGTCACGGGGTCGTGACGTGGCCGAAGACAGGAGACTTTATGTAGGGATTCAACTGTTTATTTGGGCGAACCTGTGCCCGGTAAACAGAAAGTCTTATTACAGTAGCAGTCTTGCAGTGAACGGAGCGCTGGCCGTCGATTGACTACTGACAAGTGGCGAAGTGCGTCGGTGTTTATACTCTTGCCATCGAATGTTCTACCGTTATAGCTGGCGGTGTCGAGGTTCCAGAATAATCTGTACAGTTCGCGGAGTGGGCGTGATCTTATCGAAAGG